TCCCAATAGAGTATCTTTGGGATGTGGTGGAACGGCAGCTTCGTGACCTAGATGTGCATCCCACAAATCTCCATCAACTGCAAGATGCTATCCTATCAATATGGGCCAACATTTCTAAAGAATGCTTTCAGCACCTTGTTGAATCAATGCCACATAGAATTAAGGCAGTTCTGAAGGCGAAAGGGGGTCAAACACCGTATTAGTATGGTGTTCCTAATAATTCTTTAGGTGAGTGTATATTAAAACTTTTAAGGGATGTTAGGATGTTAAAGTGTACTTGCATGCTACTCATGAATGTTCTATAAATGCATAATGAATACATTATGAAGGTTCACTTAATATAAAGTGTTACCAAATAAACTAAGGCTTGCATGTGCAGCTTTTAAGCATAGTTTGCCCTTTTAATAATCTTTGCTCTGGCGGTGGTGAATTGAGCTCACTGTGGTGCCGGTGGACATGCTGAAGCATGTTCGTTGTGCTATTTGTGTATGTTATCAGTCTTTTACAATGTTTGCACTCAATTTTTGTCTTGTCAGTGCTTTTCTTGCCGTTTTCATTTGTGATTACCGGAAAGCTAAAAAGCTGGCACACCGCCGATTTAAGATCGAGGGGTGTGTCCTCAATTTCAAATTCACTCGACCTCTTGATCGCGTTTGGTCAAAACCAATAACTAACGTAGATGTCGACGTGAATACGCAGTGACATCTGACGTCGAACTGACGTTGTAAATTAAATGTAATATTACACCAATTATTCTGTTAAGTAAAGTACTATGAAGTACTCCTAAAGTAGCGATTAATTTTCCACATCAGCCGGTTTAAATCGTCATACAATTACATCGATTTTTAACCGATTCGCGATTAATCGTTACATGCCTAGTACGCTTTATAAGCAGAGGCCAGATGTTCTTGTATGTGAATTTTTATAATGTTAAAATGTTTTCAAAGGAAAAGTTTGCCAATTTTCAACCTTACTGCTATCTGGGTTTTAGTATAAAAATGTCTGCCGTTGTTGCCCATCTTCTGTCTCTGGGCCATGGGTGTCGCCGCCATTAAATCTGAGAGGGACGTGTCCCCCTCATATTTCATAATTATTCATTTGGAGCCCCCCCACATTTAACATAAAATATTAGTTTTATGCCATCATTGGTTGACTGATAGAGGTTATGTTGAAAATGGGCAAATTTTCACTTTAAGATTTTGTACTCAGTACTGTGAAGGTGTAAGCTGCATTTTATAAGCTGTGGTCAAAACTGCCTGTAATTTTAATATCAAAATGTATTGTGAAGGTGAGGTCATAAGTTCTGGTATGTACTGATCAGAGATGTACTTGAATGTTCACCGCTATTCAGCTCATTGCCTCTGTTTGTATATGGTAATGATTTAATAAATGTTGGAAACTCATAGCTCTTACTTATTTGTTAAATTTATGGTAATGCTAACTAATTAAAGAATTATCCTTTCTAATCCAATATTACCTGGTAGTCATATCTTTTTACATTTTAAATATACAGAACACATATGAGCATTTCTGAAAAATTGTAATTTATTTTCAAAATACGTTTTATTGGCAATTTAAGACATCACCTACACCACCCATTATAAAAGTGTAAAAAATATCACACAAAGACAATCAACAGATATTGCAGAAGAATATATATATAGAAAAGAATGAGTGAAAAAAATCAGAAATAATACCCCTGTATATATTCTGTGACATTACAGTTTACACCAGTTTTAATATTTCACTACTTAAAACAAAATGACAAAAATTTGATACGCTGCTCTTGGCGGGGAGTATGATGGTATGATTTTACACAAACTGGCTCACAGTTATACAGGTATTTTTTCTCTCAAGGTACCCAGGGGTCAACACCAATGCAAATTTTGACGTACATTATTAAAATGCAATTTTTTACAACGTACATGGCCTTTGTTATTGGTATTTTTTGTTAACTTACACAAGCTGTTTCAAAAACTTTTGAGCCAATCACAACAATGTGAGCTAACAATGATGTTGACCTTTTAGGAAAGCAAAATCTGAACTATATCGATCAACTTGCATACCGAAAATAAATTGCATAACATAAAGTCAGAATGCAGTTATCTGCTCAGCTATCTATCGTACCATTTTTATCAAATGGTATCAGTCATGTCAGCACATTTGCTTTCCGTATGTCTACTCGTTTCTTCAGTCTTTTGAATAAACTTTCCTTCACCTCTTTAGTCCGTAGACAATATATGAGCGGATTCACCATAGGAGGGAACAAACTGTAAAACATGATGACTGCGATGCGCAAGTCTGGGCTGAATATAATGCCCACGTTGCTCGCCATGTACACGAAACACCGGGGGAGATAGTAAAGGGAAATGATGATGAGCTGGGCACTGCAGGTGGAGAGGGTTTTGAGGCGACCTTGGGTGGTGGCGATTTTAAAGACTGCAAAAAGTATAGAGCAATAAGAAAATATGATAAATGCTAAAGGCACCAAAAATACGACCATAGCAAGAGCAAGAGATGGATAAGCGTAAGGAACCCTGTCAGTACACGCCAGCATTGTGATAGAAATATGGTCGCAGTAACACTGAACAATAACATTAGATGAGCAGTAAGGCAGAGGAAATGCCCTAATTGCATTCATCAGTGGGCCGCCAATGGCAATCACCCAAGAAATGATGCTGAGTATAAAAATAATTGAGTTTGTAATTATCGTAGAATATCTAAGAGGGTGACAAATTGCCACATATCTGTCTATAGCCATTATTAGTAATACAAAGCAGTTCACAGATCCAAAATAATGCACAAAATACATCTGTACAAAGCAAGCAGTGAATGAAATAGTCCCTGCCTGGAACCAGTACCTGGCAATGATCTTCGGTAAGGTGGTGGTGCTGAACAACACATCAGACACAACCAGGTTCAATATGATGAAGTACATGGGCTTGTGAAGCTTCTGGTCTGTTATAAATATTGCAAGAAATATTGCATTTCCAAGTATGATGAAGACATATATCAAGCAAAAAACAGTGGCAATAAGACCATAATAATGGGGAAGAAGTCCTGGAAATCCCATAATGAAAAAGTCTGTTATTGAGCTCTGGTTCCCTGCCAACATAATGAACTAAAATCCAGTGGAAAGTGACAGGAATATGTATGAAACCTTCAATCTTTCTCAATTAAGCAGGTTAAATTAACAAGTCTTAGTTTAATAGGCTACTGACACCTTAGCATTCGATTATTAAATTTATATTTGTCACATAGTCTTATTGGAAATTCTAATACACAGAGAGACTAATGCTTGAACCTGCTACAACATGGCTTTACATTTACCCAGTATAATAAAACTCACATAGAATTTCTTTTCATAGTCAGGATTTTGCTAATGCTTTAGAAAGTATATATTCTGTCTGCCCTGCGGTGGGTTGGCTCCCCGTCCTTGGTTGCTCCCTGCCTTGTGCCTGTTGTTTTTGGGATAGGCTCTGGACCCCTGCAACCCTGTACAGGGCAAGCAGTATAGAAGATGAATGAATGAACAAATATATTCTGTCACTTGTGTAATGGATACAGAAATTGCATGATCAGAGGTAAGACGGTTTATTGAAGGAAATGAACTTACCAGAGTTCATAGGTGATGATCCACCAGTACTCAGATAGTATCTTTCAGCAGGTTACACTACTCAGCTCTGGAGCATACTGTATGTTCTTTCAGATAAAAACATAGTAATTATGGATTTTTTTTTTTTTACCTGAAATCAATATACCATAAATACGGTATAAAAAGTAATTCTGTGACACAACCTCAAAGCTCTCAGATTTGGGTTCTTTGTATGGTCTTCATAATGTTCTTTTATCGCTTCTATTGTTGGCTGTATCGATGTTTTAGATTTTTTTTTTTATTATTATAAAAAAATAAATGTTGGAACATTGGCTGTGAAGGCTAAACATTCTAAGCCATCAGCTAGACATCCAGTGCAATTCTATGGCACATTACAGATTTCTGGCAGATCTTGGCTGAAGAGCAATTTATATACTGTAAACACTGCTAGGCTGTACATTCCTGTAACCTGACAACTGAGAGTGACATGTAAAAATAGATCATTACAAAGACCACCAGTGACAAGGGAGGTAATTAAGATTAAATGTGTTTGTGAGATGCTTTAATGGCAAAAACACCCAAAGGTGTTAGAGCTGTTATTGGGAAAACTTAAAAGTATATTTTAAAGGTCGTAACGTAATTGCCACCCACCGGACATATTACCACATTCTTCAGTCTGAAACGAGTGTGTCTCAGTAAATAATATGAAGCATTTTAAGGTATTAGGGAGTGCAATAGGGAGTGTTACAATATATATTTTTGCAGAAAAACTAGGAAAATCCCTTTGCTGTGTTCTCCAGCACAGGTTTTAAGATATTACTCCTGGTATTTTGCATTAAAATATTTCCTCATAAATATGGTGTGTATGTAACCATCCATCTTCCTTAACACTGAACCAGTACCAGATTACAGTGACCCATGGGCCTTTCCAAGGGACGAAGGAAAACCCTGGACAGGAAGCCACTCCATCAATACTGAGTAAGGGCAATTTAGAGATAGTACTTTATGTATCTGAATGTCCCAAAGCCAGAAACCAGAGCACCCGGAAGTAGTGCTGTAGTTCTCGAGACCAATTTTTTGTGGTCTCGGTCTTGTCTTGGTCTCGACTCTATTTGGTCTCGGTCTTGTCTTGGTGTCAACTCTATTTGGTCTTGGTCTTGTCTTGGTCTCGGACATAGCGGTCTCGATGGGACGAGGAAAAAAAGAGAAAACAGCACATCCTCACAAAAACAGTATCATTATTTATTACGTGCCTCAATTCAAATGCAACCAGGCAGATGCATCTATTTTAAAAACGTTACATTGTATACATTTTCTCAACGGACACTGCCAGTGCTTCACAGTCCACACACATCATACACATCGCATCATAGTGAAGTTGGCAAAGAAATGTCCGAAAATGTCCGCGAAGTCTATAGCATAGTTATAATTCAAATAAATTAGGTATTTTACATTGATTAGAAAGCATGGTCTTGGAGGTGCAAGTTAATTTGGAGGCTCATTCTCTTCAATTCAAAGCAAAGGATCCTTACATAGCCGTATTCATAGCTTACCCGAGGCCTCTGTCTCTGGTATAAGAGACTTAATATGAACATCTTTCTGGTACATCCCATCTCTTTCCCTTGACGACGTCTGATAAAATGGTTATAGCAGAGGATTGCTGAGAATATTATTTTCAATCAGGCCTCGTAACTATGTCAAATCTGGGAGATTTTAAATGAGAGACATATGGACATATGGACAATATAATTGAAAAGATAACATGAATTTGGTTTAACGAGTAATGACAGCAATGCCTTTTTTCTCTACAGTTGATCTGAGTAATATGATGTTGATTCTAGCCCTAGTCTGTTTTCGGTCTTGGTCTCGAACAGTCTTGGTCTTGGTCTCGCCTTATGTGTCTTGGTCTTGGTCTTGGACTTGGTCTTGATACCCTCCAGTCTCGGCAATGTCTTGGTCTCGGTTTAGGCGGTCTTGACTACAACACTACCTGGAAGACAGCCACACAAACACAGAGAGAGCATGCAAACTCCACCGTCACAGGGCAGGAATCACACCCCTGAAGCTGTATGAGCATAGTCACAGGACTGAGCCACTGCAGCTCTGTTCACCTTATTTATTAATATAACTTAACTTTTTATTCCCTTTTTAGAACTCCCTTTAACATGTTATATATTAACTGATTTGGAAGCAATTTTGTTACAAAAATGTAAACAGGTATCCTTCATTTGGATATACAGAATAGAAATCACTTGTGATATATTTAACAAATTAAATGTCTTTGACTATATATTTGGCAGGTGGTATGGGCCTGGTTTTTGTGCCTGTGACCAGAAGGCTGCTGGTTTGAGGTCCACAGTCACATGAATGTGGGCCCTTGAGCAAAGCCCTTAACCCTCAGCTCCAGGGATGCTACACACTGGTTACCCTGCACTGTGACCCCCCAAGCTTGCTCTCACCTGCAAATGTGCCTGTGTGTCACATGGAGAGAAAGATGGGGTAGGTGAATAGAGAATTTCCCCATGTGGATTAATAGTTCTTAAAACATCTTCCGATGCACCTGAACACATCATCAGTGATGTAACCTGGGGTCTTCGGGCGTTTCGGGTCTTTCAACATCAGACACCCTCGCCCAGGCGACCCAGCCACGGCTGATCAGACCGCGACTTGTGTTCAGGTAGCACTCGCTTGCCCCCATTGTGCTCCTCTACGGATCCAGAGCCATCTTGAAGCTTTCTNCATGCTTGCTTTATAAACTGTGATTTCCTTTTGCGAGGTCGATAAAACATTATACCACCTTTTTTCACATTCCTTTGCTGAACGCCTTGTCCGAGGTGACGCAGCATTTACGGAGCTTGCAATAGCCTCCTAAGCTTTTATTGTCCGTGATTGTAACAGCTGGGCCAAACTTTCCTCGCACTACCTCCTTCCATTTAAGCACCAACTGTGCCAAAAGAACCCTTTTGTTTGTCATCCAGTTTGCTTTTCTTTTAGAATCCAATGTCTTGCTATAAGTTTTAATTTATACAACATGTGCATCGATTAGTGGAAACTCAGTATTTGGGGCAGGATTTTACTTGTAGTCCTCATTTCACGACACTTAAATGCTGGCTCCGTCAGCACTTAGGAATTGGGCTTAGACTTTGCTGAAAGTTACTTTTAGCATCTTTACACAATGCTCTTAAGGTCCTACTTTTTGCTAAGATTTTTTTAACTCTTAAGTCAAAGTGTACAACCATTCTTAGGAAGTTTTATGCATACCGGCCCAGGTTTTTGTGAGGGGGAAAAAAATGGCATCAAATCATTTCAAAACTTTTTTGTACCTTTAATTAATGTGACATATAATCTGTACAATGTACCTGTGCAAAAACAACATTATGCATCACCAAAAGAACAGCATACCCATGGTGAAGCATGGTGGAGGCAGCATCATGCTTTGGGGTTGTTTTTCTTCAGCTGGAACTGGGGCTTTAGTCAAGGTGGAAGGAATTATGAACATTTATAAATACCAGTCTATTTTGACTGAATACCTTCAAGTGTCTGCTTGAAAGCTGAAGAAAATGAATTTCACCTCTCAGCACAAAAATGACCCCAATCATAGACCAAATTCAACAAAAAATGGCTTCACCAGAAGAAAATTAAAGTTTTGGAATGTCCCAGCTAGAACCCAGACCTAAATCCAATTGCACAGGGCTGTGCACAAGAGATGCCCTCGCAATCTGACAGATTTGGAGTGTGTTTGCAAGGAAGAGTGGGCAAATACTGCCAATTGTGTAATGCACAGAGTGAGTAGGTTAGGAGTTGAGGTAGCCAGGTGGAGCAGGGTGGTCAGGAACAGGAGTCGCTAAGCAGAACCAGAGTCAGGGTCATGTAGCGAAAGGGGTCACAAGCCCAAGAACTTCTTCCTTCACAGAGCTGCACAAACTGACTCTGACCACAACAGAAAGAGGAGAGGGAGTCCTGGTGCACAACTGAGCCAGTGTATAAATATATTAGAGTGTGTAGTTTGATCTTATCTTTCAGATACAGCAGCTGGTGTGATGATACGGTGTAAAGCAGCAAGATGCAGAAGCTGTCCTCTTATTACTCTTTCTTTTTTGTTCTACTGTTTGTTATGTATTATTTCTCTTTCCCTGTCTCTCTCTCTCTCTGACCCCCCTCCTTATTTTATTTTTATTTTTATTATGTATTTATTTATTTTTCTACTTCCTCTGTCTCTCACCCCTTTCTCTCCTTCCTCACTTTCTCTCTCTATCTCTTTCCCACTAACCCCCCCTGTCAGCTCCGGCTTTATGGCGCATTGACATATAACTGATTAATAAAGAGTATACCTCAAGTAACAAGAGGAGCTTAAATCCGAAGCTCCACTTGTTAAAATAAAAGTGTTGGCACAATAAGGCACCCAGACTAACATCCTGCTTGCTAAACTGCCGGACACGACAAGGGGGGAAAAAAAAAAGTTTGAGTAACAGATGCCT